CTGCATTATTCCGGGAACTGATGCGCAGTGGCATACAGGTGATGAAGCTGCTGTTGTGCCGAAGCAAGGGCCTGTTACTGTTGTTGTTTTTGTTGTATGACTCGAGTTTATAGAGCAAGGGAGCCTGGAGGATCTGATCAAAGGCTTTTTTAAAGTCAATTAAAATTGCGTGGGGAATCAAGCCGTCATCATGGGCTTAAGTAAGACTGTCCACGACAGATAGTATAATGGAAATGCAGAATCTGCCAGAAAGGAAGCCGTGTTGGGTTTGCGAAATAAGTTGACTGTTTGATAAGTGGATTGCTCTTTTTAAATTCCGTTCGAAGACCTTGCTGGTAACGCTAGTCAGGCGGATGGGTCTATAACTAGATGGTGTGTGTCGGTCCCCTTTCTTAAACTGGGGGGATATGATGCCTCTCTTCGAAGATGAAAGAAATATTTCAACATCTAGACACTTGGAAAATAGTGTAACTGTACGGGGAGAGGACCGAGGGGGCTTCTTTTAACACTCGAGGGTGTATACCGTCTGGTCCCATTGAAATAAAGGAATTCAGGGGTTTGAGGAGCGATTCGGTCTCCCCTGGAAGAATGATGAACTGTTCTGATGAGGGTGGTGTATTTAGACGGGGAAGATTCAGATGGTAAGAGACAGGAGGAAAATTAAAGGCGGATTCATAATGAGACCGGAAGATTTCGGCTACCTGAGTAGAGGAGGTTAAGGGAGAGCCTTCAGGTAGCTTGAGGGCCATTGCCGAATGGATTAGTTGTCTTTTACGGCGAAGTGACTTAAATAAGGAATAAGGGTTACTTCTGGCACAAAGAAGAATTACTTTCTGTTGTCTGTTGTGGAATTCCTTTACTCTTAGGTTGTATAAGTTGCGGATTCGCTTAAACTGGACATCATCAGCGTCGAGACCATTACATTTTAGTCTGGCAAATGAATTCGCCCGCTCATCCATTAGGTGCCGAATGGAGCGGGGTGGGGGAGGTCTATGGTCAGATACAGCTGGAAATCTAGAAATAAACAAGTGGTCCGCTTTGTGAATTAAACTCTCGAGCAACTCATTTAAGTTGTTCGGGTCAGTATCAATATTGCGGGGTCCCAGCCTGTTGGTCAGGAATTCTCGTAAGAGAACGAAATCGGCCTTTTTGAAGGAACATAGCATTCTGCAAGTTGGTCAACGGATAATACTGTCAAATGGTAGCATGAGGTGATCAATTTTATCAACAGGACTTAGATATGAGATCATGTTGATCTGGCGTGTTTCGTTGGTAATTGCAAGATCCAGCAGAGAGGGACGTTGGCTGACTCGATATATCGTGGGAGAAACTACGTGTTTGTACCACGAGTGTTCATTGAAGAGGTTTATAAGGGAATCACCAAACATTCTACCTCTAGAGTGGCATCTGGGCCAGCCGATATTTGGGGCGTTAAAATCGCTCAGGATAAGGTCTGAAAAAGTGCAGGTGGGACGGTGGTCGCGAAGCTGAGTTAGAAGTGATTAATATTCCTCCTGTGCGTTTGATGGGGAACGATAAACAACCCCCAGGAGGAGAGAGCCCCTGCTAGGGAAAACGACGTTGACTCATAGGGTCTCAATCAATTCGGTGATGGAAATAAAAACACACAAAGCGGGTAGGAAGCAATCATTAAGGAAGAGAGCCACTCCACCCGCATGGCTACGGTTTGGGTCCTGTCTGAACAAATTGAAATCATCTATCATTAGTTCGCCATCTAGTATCTCTTGATTGAGCAACGTCTCAGCTACGTCTATTACATATGGCTTTCTGCCGCTCACCTATTACCGCAGTTCAGGAATATTATTTGTTATACTGAGGCAATTGATTGATACGCACTTCAACACCTGCAAACTATGTATTTCACCAGGTCTAGAAGGATGGTAGGGTTCGTGGGGGTGTTTCGGCCCTTTTGCTCCGAGGAGGTCTTGGCATCCTTGAGAGCTTATGGAGGGTTGTGCCATATGTTTGGCATCCATTTCGCATACTGGCGAGATTGATTTCCTAGTGTTTTGGGGTTTCATTCTGTCTAGTGGGCGAGAGCGGTCTACAGAGGACAGGAAAGGGGACTTGTGTGTCGTATTTTTGTTACAGTCCTGTCTTAGATTTTGCTCTGAGAGTGACCTGGTGACGCTTGTCAACAGTACGGGTTTTGGCGCAGAAAGATTCTTTTTGGTTTTTAGTTGTGGAGAAATGAGATTTAGATTGCGCCTCGGTAGGAGCTGAGGTGGTTGCTTTGGGTAATGAATTACCTAGATGCCCCTTCATTCCAGCTAGCGGTTGCATGGCGGTACCTTTTCTGGAGCGTGGGACAGTTTCATAGATGATGTTAGCTTGCGTTTCAGGATCCCGACCATGGTTTGTTCCTTTGTGGTTATGTCAGTGAAGCTGCCGTCGGGAGTACCGACGACTAGTGGGGCGAAAGATAGATTCTTGCCCTTTTTGGGTGAGGAGATTTGTGGGACCTTCTCAATATGTAGTCGCGTGAGATTGACCGCGGTACTCGTTTGAAGCTCCTCATCTATTCTCTCGCCATCAGGTTGCTTGTCAAATTTTCTGACATGAAGAGGAATTTCGCGGGCTACACCTGTGACATAGTTGCATCTCTTGGTTATATTTGCTTGGGCAAGACAGTGCCACACTGATGCGCTCTGGTTGAACTCAACCGCGATACTTGTAATCGTTTTCTTGGTTTTTTTTTAAGATATGAACATCTGATTACTCCAAGATTTCTAGAGATTTAAGGCTATCGAGGATTATCTTGACCCTATGAGCAGGGTGTGTTCCTGATTCCCCCAGGTTATCATACGTTTGCTTCATGCCTCTGTCTCAGACAGCTTATTGGCGGTATCTAAGATGATTTGATTGGAGATCTTGAGGGTCTTTTCGCTGGCTTCAAAATGTGTAGAGTGGCCTACAAGTAGCGCCTTCAGCTCCACTACCTCAGCCTCCAGTTTGGCAATTTTCGTCTGTAGATTCTAGATTGCCTCGCTCTGTGATAAGAGTATCCTGTATTGTATCACCGGAGAAGTGTTGATTACCGTGTTGTCGAGATGCATAGGTAGCGTTTCCTCATCCAGAGATACATCCGGGTTTGAGACTTTATCTTTATTTTCTACGGAAATTTTTAAATTAAGTTGTGGTATGGCGATGGTATAAGAAAAATACGAAAACAGCAATAAATTGGAAATACAGTAGAGTACGACAGTATGGCACACTAAATTTTGGCCGCTGGTATACTAGAGGCCGCGGCCAGAAAGGTGATGCCAAAGATGTTAGAAAAAGGATTATTAGAAAATAAAGCTGTGGATTATTTCCAAATAAACTACTTTTAGATGCAAAAAATGAATTTTCGAAGTGACAACTCACCGCTAGCGGGGTTGATACGGCATCAGCCAGCTCTTGCAGCACCCACGGGTAAACTCCATCTGGACCCGGGGATTGGTACTGACGAAGTCCACGTAGTACCTTGGTGACGTCGTCGGCCTCCTGATAGGGGGCACTGATGGAAAGCACGTCAGGAGGGTATGAACCCAAAACCCTATGAGGGGGTGAGGGTAACGAATGTGAGATCTGTGCTTTTGGGTACACTGAAGCATAATGCCGAGCAAGTACACCAGCCTTGTCCACATCAGTGTTAGTAGTGATTCCATTCTCGACAAGACTCAGGAGTCTAAACACCGTCCTGGACTTCGTTTTCAAGTATGCAACCTCCCTCTTCGGCGTTATGGCAGATTCAGCAACTAGACGCTCCTCGAAAGCACGGCGTTTGGCCACCTTAGCTGTCGAGAACTGGTTCCGTATTAGTCGGTATTCATCGTTTCCTGCATTCGAAGTACGGTGATGCTTCTAAGCACGATTTCTCCAGCGAAGCATACTCTTAAGCTTACGGTCGAACCACGGTGGTCCCTTGGCATAAAGTTGGCTGCTGCGTACAGGGGCGAATCGTTGCACCAGCTGTAGTATGCAGTTTCGGATGACACACCACGACTCTTCAGCATCTTCTTTATCAATCGGCTCTCAGTTCAATAACTGCGCTACGGTATGCATGTCGTCGAACTGTGGCCGCCATACATTCCGTCCCTCTGGAGGTGGTTGTGAGAATCGGGTTTGGCGTCTCCAGCATACAATTGACACCACATGATCACTGGCACCGAAAAGTGGAAGAAATTGAATGTTGGATGCGTCAGAGGCACGAGCAGTTAGAACAAGATCCAGTGTGGATAATAGCTAACCAAGAATGCGGGTGGGTTCTTGTACATGTTGATGAAGGATGAGTTCACAGACTGTTGAATGCAGTTCCCATGAGAATTGATCAGCAGACGTAGTGTAACAGTTTTATGCCGTCAGTATGTGGTGGATTGAAATCCCCGAGCACCATAAAGTGACCATTTGCAGCCCAGCGCATCATGGAATCCAACAAAAGTAGAGAGTCCGATGCTGGAGTCCTGTACACAACTCCTAATACCGTATAACCGTTGTGGGAAAGTTTAATGTTGCACCATAAACATTCCGAGAGCCCCTAGTGGTTGACATGCACCTCCAGAAGATGTGATGGCAGCTCCTCGCGAATGTATACCGTTACTTCACCTTTCCCCGCATTGCGTTCCCATCCGCCCAACATACAAGATAACCCGAAATTGACATTCCATAGTTGGCAATTTCGCCCATTAGCCAGGATTTTGTGAGATCGACAACTGCCGGCTTGTATGCGTGAACAAAGGCTTCCATTTCATCCCTCTTGTTAAGTAGACTGCAATCATTGGAGAGAACAATGTCCACATTGTCCTCCGTTTGTTGCTTTGCAATCCATCCATGGCGCAAACCACTGCACCGGGTGTGCGAATCGGAGGAAATTCCAGTCGCAGCCTCCCTCAGACGACACAAAAATTGCGAATAATTAAATTATCCTCTCCTTGGCCTTGCTTTTCACGAAGCTCCACAATTGTAGCTGTTAATCTGGAGCGTTCGTCAGACTCCGGATCACGAAACAGTCGCACCGGATCGTCTTTCAGACGATATGAGCGACGGAACTCCTCCTCAGCTTGGGTCTTGGCCCCGAGAACCACCTTAAGAGGACGAGGAAGGCCATTCTCCTTTATCTTACCTGGTTCGAAATGCTACCTTAACTTTGATGTCATTGGCTTCTTCACCCTTAACTACTTTTTCCAATATAGACCTCAAATGGTACAAATAGTGGTTCAGTCTCTTTTGACTAGACCCAGCTGGTTCATCGGATAGTTTCAGTGCTAGAACGCACCGCCGACTCTGGGGGGCATTTCGTTTGGTGGTACTCTCCAGTTTCATCCACCTCCCCGAGGTCTCCGATGTGACGCGCGACAGGGATCCTGCGGGCGGTCCTCCTTCATTTGGCGCCTGTGCTGTGGTGCTAATCGTCGGTGGTGGAACAGCGGTCGAGCAAATGTCGTCCCGGACTACAATCGTAGGAGCATCCTGTCCACTTTTCTTCCGTCCTTTCCGACGTGTACCCGCTGAATCAGAGCGAACTGGGGTTAAGGCAACTAGCAGAGGAGCACTAGCTGGCCTGATTTGGATTACGGTACTGTTCAGGTTCGACGGAGATGTCACGGACGAAACGCACTGACGTCGCAGCTTGAAATCTCAGCAGAACCAGGTTTTCTCAGTCGAGCTGGCAAAGAGAAAAAAGAAGAGGTGTCTTCTCGCCCCATCAGTCGGGTCAGTTCAGGTCGAGTCACAGGACTTCAGGCTTCGACCAGTGGACGTCCAGGTTCTTGCACTTGGGAGCTGGTGGTTCCCACTATTCTACAACTGCCAGGTAGTTCCAAGGTAGTGTTGGATGCTGTATTTACAAGAGAAGAGATGAAGAGCAGGATCGCCCTCGTGGAATCANCCTCGTGGAATCAGCAATCTCAATCATTCGGCAGGCGCCGCACCTCAGCGGACTGCTACGCTTGCCATGAGAGCTTCCTGGGGACTAAACAAATGTCGTAGTAAATGTGCGTGAGGTGTGTGGTGTAAACGAATGATGGTGGAAATAGACAAACGGCTACATAAGGCGTATGTTGGTAGTGACTAAGACTTGTGTTAGTCATACTCTGGAAACACCTCGGCCCAGCAGTAGTCTAGTCTCCGTATGAATTGCAGAACATTAGTTGCTGCTACTACTGTAGATGGTAGCTTGTTCTAAACGGTTATCACGCGGTGGGAGAAACATTTTGTCCCGGTACTTCCGTTGGCTCGTGGTTTTATCAGCTTCAGGACATGCCCCCTGAGGGTTGCTTTGAAATTTAGCGTAAAAAGGATCTATCTGCTATTGACAGTCCTTTGAGTTGCTTGAACGTCTCAATGAAGTCACCCCTCAGGCGACGGCGGTGCAATGAGAATAAGCCAAGGGCCACCAGCCGTATTTTTGTGAGTTACCCCGCAGTCAGCTGATCATCCAGGTGAACCTTCTTTGCCCTTCCTCGAGCAGTTGTTTATCCCTTACAAGGGGAGGGACTCGCGCCTGAACAAAGTACTCTAGATGTGGTCGCACAAACCTTATATTGTGGCAAGAGTACGTTAGCCTCCCTCGATGGTACCGTTCGGCAGAGTTGAAATAAGGTTTTATTTGTTTATGCTACGGTTGCTGCACACTGCATCCGTGAGAGACCTTAGTTTTCTGGAACATACCAGTTTAAAGTACAACTAAAAGACCCGATTCCATAGTTCGGGACTGCAATTTACCTGGTTCTTAGTGACGATACATTACTACCTAACCACCACCTCTTTTATTGAAGGTCACAATCTGATCCAAACAAACAGTAAACCTATTCTTTAAGAGTTTTAACCCCCACGAGAGCATACTCACCTTATTCAAATCCCACACCAGGCCCTCGTAAGAGGTTACCTCAATGGTATACTCTAGCACGAGAAAGCTAGGTGGGGTAGCCATCGAGAATGTACAGTGAAGATCTACCAAACAAATCCTTGGCTAGTCCACTGAGTTAGGCTGCATGCAAAGATATTTCCTCCTAAAGCCCGAACCCCTATGGTTACGTCGTGCTAAACTTAATATTTGTCTGCCGCACAGTTTTGTGTGTAGAAAAGCCTATTCCATAGAGAAAATCCGATTCCAAATTAATCCACCATATCCCATTCGAAACCATATTAACGTTCTCCCTACAGCAAACGACAGAACCACGGCCAGGAGGACATTTTTTCTAGGAATATATTTCCGCCTATGGAATAAAATTGCAGTCGAAATAAGACAGACGACATCTAGTAACAGATTTAGGAATCTAATTAGCAAATTTCTTTATGTAACCAAAACCATTCAATTGCGCAACCAACTTAACGCATTCATAACGTTTGAAAACGGACTAGAATATTAAACCCTACGAAGAATCCACATCCCAGAGCTAGGGGGCGTAAATGCTTTCAAGAAGGAGCTCGGTAGGCGCTGGTTGGACTTATTTTTCGAACTAGACGTGTGAGATTAGCCCTCAAATCAATTTTCGATTTTTTCGTTCACTATACAACAAGGGAACGCCTCCGAATGTGCGGTCTCTCGCCTGAACAACGGGAGATGATACCTTTCTCTTCTTCTTCTTCCCTTGTAG